ATTACTATTTGTTCCCTGACTTGTGTCTGTCGCATACTCAGTGCCAGCCTCACAAGACCAAATTTATTTCCCCATTTTCACAACAGGCAGCTCTGAGGGCCACCAGGGCTGCCATCTGGGCTCTTGGCTCCTGAACATCCACCTGCATGCTGTGGCTGTGCCTCCAGGTCCAGGGAAGATATTAATAGATGGGAGCTGAGACAAATTGTTTTCTGCTAGTTTGTTCATTGAGTTTGTCTATACAGGGAGACTGGATCCATTTGTTTCACAGTCAGTTCCCCAGGACCCCCAGGGATATCTCTGAGGTCTTTGCATCACAAAACACAGTTATGACGTCAAGAATAATATCACAGGTATTAATAAAAACAAACAAACAAGTAAATAAAACTTCAACCAACAAAAACAAAACAAAACCAACAAAAATCAAAGGAAATAATATAATGATGCATATGAACAAAAGCTAGTGCTGGGATTTCCTGAGCTACCCTGGGAGTCCTGTGAAGATGATGGGCACATATTGTTGCTGGAATAGTGTGTATTCAAATATTTTCCACAAGGCATCCTTGATCCCTTGGTTTCTCATGTCGTAGATAAGGGGGTTCACTGCTGGATGCACCACTGAGGATAGGAGAGATCCAGAGATGAGGAGGAGATGAAGGAGGGCTTCTGGTAGGCAAATGCTGAAGTACTTAGAAACAAGGTGATCACAGCCAGGTAAGGAAGGCACGTGGAAAAGGCTTTGTGCTGACCCTGCTCAGAGGGGATCCTCAACACAGCCCTAAATATCTGCACATAAGACAGCACGATGAAAACAAAACCACCAAAGACTAAACAAACACTAAAAAAAAGAAGCCTGACTTGCCTGAGGTAGGCGTCTGAGCAGGAGAGCTTGAGGATCTGGAGGATTTCACAGAAGAACTGGTCCACAGCATTGCCTTGGCAGAGGGGTAGGGAAAATGTATTGGAAGCATGCAGGAGAGCATATAGAAACCCACTGCCCCAGGCAGCCTTTCCTATGTGGACACAAGCTCTGCTGCCCAGGAGAGTCCCATAGTACAGGCGTTTGCAGATAGCAATGTAGCAGTCGTAGGCAATGGCTATGAGAAGATAAAACTCTGCTGTGATCAAGAACACTAAAATAAACACCTGTGCAACACATCCTGCATAGGAAATGACCCTGGTGTCCAATGAGGAATTAGCCACGGCTTTGAGGGGAACAGTGGAGATGGAGTCCAGGTCAAGAAGAGAGAGGCTGAGGAGGAAGAAGTACATGGGGGTGCAGAGGCAGTGGTTGCAGTCTATGGTCATGATAACTAGGCAGTTGCCCAGGAGAGCAGCCAGGTAGATGCCCAAGAAGAGCCAGAAGTAAAAAGAGCTGAAGCTCCAGTGTGTCTATGAATGCCAGGAGGAGGAACTGGGTGATGGAGCTGTACTTGGATATTTTCTTCCTCTGGGCATGGGTGACTGTCCAAGGAGAAAAAGTCAGCAAAAAGTTAGGACAGACTTCTTATAGAATCACAGAATGATAGGTGTTGGAAGGGACCTCCAAAGATCATCCAGTCCAACTCCCCTTGCTAGAGCAAAGCCAGTCGATTTCTCATAAAATTTGACACCTCACCCAACCAGTTAAAATGCATTTATTTCTCTGGTTTGTGATGGCTGACTGTGTAATAAGAAGCAGGACTGTGGGCTCCCAAGGAGTCATCTCTGCTCTGCTGTCACGACAAGGGATCTCAGATTTAAAAATATATACAAGAAGGGCTCCAAGGAGGACCCAGGTAATTATAGGCCCATTAGCCTCATGCTGATCCCCGGGAAGATTATGAAGCAAATCCTCCTGAGTAATATCACCAGTAAACTGGGACATGTGATTGGGAAAAGCCAACATGGATTCACCAGGGGCAGATCATGCTTAACAAATCTGATTGCTTTCTATGACGGAGTGACCCATTCGGTTGATGCAGGATGAGTGGTGTGCCCAGACTGCTAAATTCGGTTCAGTTGATGTGGGGCGAGCAGTGGATGTTGTCTACTTCAACTTCTCCAAGGTTTTCGACATGGTGCCCCACAGCTTCCTCCTTGAAAAACTGATAAACTACAACCTCAGTAAGTGGTCTGTGAGATGGGTGGGGAACTGACTGATGGGCCGTTCCCAGAGGGTGGTAGTAA